TGTCTTAGTTACTCTTCTCTCATTGCTGGGACAAATACCCGACACTCAAAATGAAGGAAGGAAAGGTTTATTTAGCTCACAGTTACTGAAGGTTTCAGTCCATACTCATCTGGGTCCAATGCAGAGCAGCACAGAGCAGAAAGCAACCTTTCAGGGTGGTGGTAAAGAGCAAGAGTGCAAGGGATGGGTAGCAGCAGCTCAAGCAGCTGGCTTCTCTTCCCACCTTACATTGTAATGCAAATTACCTGCCCCAGGGCAGGTGCAGCAGGCACACCCACAGTAATCAATCACAAACTCCAGAAGCTGCCCCAAGACTGCATGAGGCTTTGGGGGGACACCTAGACACAAACCATAACACACTTCCTCCCTCTCCTTTACTCAGAACATCCCTCGTGTTCCAGTCTCAGCTTCAGTGTCCCTTTCTCAGGGAGAGCCCATGAGCTGCACCGCTGTAAACTGGTAACGATAATAATAACATGGCCAATAGCAATTGCATCTTTCCTGTGTGTCGTGCACTGAGCTAGGCAGTTTATGCACATTTTCTTGTTTTATCCTCTCGCAAACACCATAGGCCAGGTATTAGTATCCTTCCCTTTTGGGAGGTGAGAAAATCGACAGAGCTTGGAGAGACCTAGCTTCCAGGCCCACTAAGCCTGCTGTAATGGTTCACCTGCATCGTGGTTCACTGTAATGATCTGATGTCTGTCTTCTTCCCTAGATGGCCAGGGCAAGGGGTCAATGTCCTGTTTGTCCTCTGCTGTACCCGTGATACACAGTGGTTGTCTAGGTACTCTGTAAGGAGTGCTTGGCTAGGTACTCCTATGTGCCTAAATTTCCAAACACTGACAGGGCCTACCCAAGAAGAGAACATGGAAAGAATACTTTGAACAACCACAAAACCTGAAAGCCCCTCGGGCTTGATTTAGACCTTCCTCTGTGTCTTGGGCTTCACTAGGGTAGGTGTCTGGGGCAGGAGGATGAGGAGGGAGTATTGGTCTCAGCAGCATGTAGAGGTACTGGCATCTCTGGCTTCTCCATGCCCAGTGTTGGCCTGCCTGTGTGAGTGGGCTGTGAAGAGGTACAGTCTTTGCTTGGGGATGTAACTTGGTTGGGGAGGCCAGGAAAGACTTCAGTGAGGACTGAAGACCAATGGGACTGAACGACAGAGAGAGGCAAGGCTCCCACCTGCAGGAAACACTCTGGAAAGGAGTGAGCATGGCCTCTTTTGAGGGCTGAGGGGAAGGTTGAGGTTGGAAGATGTGGTCAGCTGGCAAGACTGAAGGCAGGGTAGGGCATTGTGTTGTGTCTTTGCTGGGGCCCAAACCCAAGGCCTCACACACGTTAGACAAGTGCTCTGTAACTGAGCAGTACCCACAACACTATCTTTATCTTCATAGCAACAGAATTGTAAGCAAGGGTGACTTGACTTGTGCTTCACTGAGGTCGCCCTGGTGGTGGAATGCATCAATGGGGAGGGATCAGGTAAGTGCTGGGTGGGCGTGTGGGTGCTTCCCAGTGAATGTGCTGCTTCCCAGTGCTTATTCATGAGGCACCACACATGCTGAGGGCAAAGTCCTTTAGCAGTTACAGGTGCTCTGCCGTGGTGAGGAGGGCCACTGAGGCATCTCAAAATGATGTCACACAGGAGGGAGGAAAAGGCTGGCACAAGTTCTGCATGGGTTGTGACTATGCCAGTGCACATGGAATTGGGGCATTTTCTGGCTGCTGGCAGAAAGACCCTCAGGGGACTTTTGTAGCCACAGAACAAGTGGCAAAAGCCTGGTACCTGTAGAAGCTCAGCCAAGAATACAGCTTGACTTTTTGATTAGCTTTGGCTTGATGGATCTTATTGATCTGCAGATGAAGAAGGGTGTGCGTGTGTGTGTGTGTGTGTGTGTGTGCACGTGGGGGGTGGTGCTCAGCATTTGCCCACTGAAGGAGCAAACTGACTTGCCATGTTTGGGATGGGAAAGCCAAGTCACTTGCAGATTGAGCATCAAACGTGCCAACCCCAAGTAAGAGTCCCAGAGACTGCATCTTGGCAAGGGTCAGCGTGGTGTCTCCTACAGCAAGCTGAAGACAAAGCCTAGTTTCTTCTCGTCCTGGGGACAGTGTGAAATGTTACAGGAAAGGGGGTGCAGAGAGAAGGCTCACAGGGCCTCCTTCTTGCTTGTATCACCTGCTTTGTTTTCTTGGGCTGGTCCCATGATTTCTCAGCCTAAATTTCTTCAACTATAAATTAAAAGGTCTACGCTGAATAATTTCTTCCATTTATGAAGTCCTAGAAATCTTTATTCAGAATCATTGGGCATACAGGGTGACTTTCAGGTCACTAGGAAATCCAATTTTTGTTAAAATGAGGCAGCACTAGTCATCATGGCTAAGGAAAATGGGGCAATAATACACTGATGTATTTTGACCATGGCACCTGCTCTAATCAAAGGTCTCTGCAGTAAATGCCAATCGATCTTCACCTCTGTTGGACCCACAATCTTCATTTTCTCTCTTTCACTTGCAGTTGTGATAGCCACATGGCTATTCTTGCCCCAAATTGGAACAAATATATTTTTGTGCAATTTATTTTTAAATTAGTGAAGTATCCTATTTTGAAAAATGATTTTCTTTCTCTCAAACTTACAGGTACAAAGGATTTAAGGGCAACTGTTCCATGACATTCATTGATCAGTTTAAAGCACTACACCAATGTAACAAATACTGTAAAATGCTGGGACTGAAGTCGCTTCAAAGCAACAACCAGAAACCGAAGAAGCCAAGCATTGGGAAAAGCAAAGTTCAGACAAACTCTCTAACAGTGAAGAAGCCAGAGTCTGGGGCCCAAGTAGAAAAGAAAAGCTAGCATCCCTCAGAAACTAGCTGCCACTAGCTAGCAGAACACAGATGTGAGTGAAAGCCTGGAGACACACAGAAGGAGGTAGCATAGGCCTGCAGGGAGTGTGGCAGTCCTTACTCCCAGCCACTGGAACCCCAGGATGCTTCTGTCCTTATCACCTGCTAGCTAATGGAATGATCTCAGCATGGCACTGGTGACCAGACTGTGGAGACATTGCAGATGATGTCAGCGTCAAATACAGCCCCTTCTCCTTTGTGTATACAGCATCTCAGCCAACCTCACGTCTGTGTCTGTTTGTGTATTTGCACATGGTTTTGTTGTCAAAGACAGTGCTGCGCAGGGTCTGTCCACAGCCCAGATCCTGCCTGCCTCACTGCTTGGCTCAGGGTTCCAGAACTATCCAGCTGTGATTTGAACACCACTCATCAACGTCAAGATTTGCACGAGTGTTGAGTGCGCTGCTGTTGCTGGAAGAGGCTTCTGAAGTGTAAGGCCACTTCCACCCTTATTCACACAGTCACTTATAATTTTTTGTTGCATTAAATTCATAGTGAAACAAAAAGTGTAAGATGTATATATCATATATATATATATATATATTTCTTTGGACTTGGCACCATGGCTCATATTTCCCCAGGATGTAGTAATAGTCTAATAGGTTTACTGAAGCACGTATTTGCATCTCTGTTTTCCTTTATTCTTACAGGTTGAGCTCCAGGGCTTTCTGCTTTGCTCCCTACATGGTCTCCCTTAACCTCGCGCTGACCCTCAGTGGGTCGCAGTGGAGGCAGGGTGCCCACTTTGAAGGGATCCTGCCTGCCTCCACACCACATGAGTCTCCTCACTGCCTTATAGATCCCTGCAGGAAATTCTGGAAAAAGAAAAGAAAATGATGGGGGAGATGGTGTGTGTGGCCTTTCTCGAGGGGACAGGTGACCTTCAACAGGAAAGTCTTGGCTTCTTCAACTTTAGAATATCGTTCTCCTCAAGCATGGGGTTTTGATTCTGAAAAGGAGGAACTTACGTGGAACTTTTGAAGGACAAGGAAAATGCTTGTCAGTCACATGTTTCTTTCAGATAACTTGCCACTTCCAGGCTGTCTTCTGCAGTGATTCTTCTGCCTTACAAATTATGAACTACTTGTAGTTGGTAGTTCGCTCTGTTCATAGAGACCCTACCTATGTATTTATCAGCGGAGTTCTGAGAAGTTCTACAATAGCGAAAAGGCACTGGGTACAGTTTGAGTCTATCAGCTATCTTCTATCTACCTATCACCTACCTACTTGCCTACCTGTCATCCATCTATTTATACCTCTATCACCTATCACATAATATCTGTCTGTCTACTCATGTATCTATCTATCTCAGCAATTATTTCTATTCATCTGTCAATCAGCATCTGTATGTCAGTATAGGTAAAACAAGAACAGGGTACTTGCTTTGGTAATAATTTGTACTTACAAAAATAATATCAACACAAGGGTTAAAAAGCAAGAAAGGTATAAAATGAAAAGTTGAAGTCATCCTGGAAACCTCTTACCCCCTAGCTATCTTTGAATTTTGTCCTGGATGAAAAGTTGCAGGAAAAGTATTTTGCGCTTCATGGTCAATGGTGTCGTGGCTTTCTTGGATGGACCTCTCCCTGTCACTTCTTACAGATGCTTAGAATATTTTCAAAGCACTCATGTTGCTTATTGTCATATGATTTCACTTGTTTACATACATTTGGAGGTTCAGAGACTGAGGGGGCACCTGCAGTGGGATTTACTGCAGCCAGGGCTCTTAAGAATGATTTTAGAGAGACTGGGTGTGGTGGATTGCACGCACCTGCAATCCCAGCGCTTAGGAAGTTGAAAACAGGAGGATCACTACAAGTCCAATCTGTATAGTGAGACCCTGTAGACCCTGTGCTATATATATATAAAGAAAAGAGTGTCCTGGGCATGGCTGGGTGGCCATCTGTCCAGCCATCCCTTCTGATCTGAGACAAAGAGCTGTTTTTCTTGTACAGGTAACAAGGTGAGTTAGGGAGTGGGCCTCCCTAGATGTCTCAGCTTTGTCTCTCCTCATTTGAGATCAGTTTCAAGACACTCACTTTCTGTTGGTTCTTCTGTGTAGTGAATGCTCACCCGTGCCACTGAGCTAGGATGGCACAGGGGATCTCGCTGGAGGTTTCATACCCCACTGATGCCTGCAGGGTGGTCACATATGTATTTGTCTCCACTTCCCAAAGGGCTCTGTGATGGAGCTCTGTGATGGGCAGATCTCAAAGACAAATGAAAGCTCCATGAAGATGGGCCTGCATTCACCACTGTAGGGTTGTCATTAATGAGAATGGCAGTGAGACGATAGCTTCCCACCAGCGGACATCGTGTTCTGGAGAGGTCTAGTGCTGGATGTGGAAATGGCCAGCTTGTGTGGACAGTTTGTGTTATCTTATCTCATTGTAGCATGTCTCCCAGCCATGCTTCTGATGAATCTGATAATAGCAAAGGGTTTCAGCAGAATCATATTTAAAGGAAGGCCTAAAAAGTAACAATTAGTGTTTATTTATGAAGAGTTCTCTTTTTCTAAATATACATCTGGTGTTTGTATGTGGTGCGCCTGCATTCAACTGGACCTGTAGGGAGTAATTTGCCAACTACCTGGCTCCAGCTTGTCTTTTCTCTGTGCATTCTGCTCTGCTGGGCATGCAGGCTGAAGAGAACAGAGCAGCATTTATCCCCCATTTGGATCTGTGGATGCCACTTGGGCTTAACTTTTTTTATTCAAAGAAGCAAAGATACTTTTCCGTCCCTTAATACCGGGGGATAGTTTCAACCTCCTTGTTGTTTTCAGACTACTTCTTATAAAAGCTGAAAAACAAGATAGAGATCAATTGTATCTGTAGGATCACATGAGCCCTGCCTTAAATGTTATGTTGCTATTGGCCAATACTTAAATGCACCAGTTGTGTTCATTTTATTTTTTATGAGAGGTCCAAATAATTCCAGATAGAAAACATCTCAGAGACTTTCTTCAAAAATCTCATGCTTTTTATTGCATATCATCAAGAAAGCCAGTCTATCAGCTATAATTTTAGGGCCTAGAAGTATCAGAAGTAATTCTGTTGCAATGTCACCTCCAGGTCTCCTTCTATCCCATCATTTACTCTTCCTCTACATCTGTGAGGAAGGATAAAGGTAGTGACTTACTGTTTTCTAGCAATAAGTTGCCTATTTGCCTCACTTTAGTACTTGTATTATTACCAAAATTCTGCCATAACAAACTCACTACTGCTGGGACTTATGCAACTGAAATGTACAGTCTCATGGTTCTGGAGGCTGGAAGTCTTTGGTCAAGGGCTGAGCACTGACCAGATACCTCTAAAAGTTGCTGGGGAGGGCTCTGTTCTAGGCCTCTCTCCTGGCCTCTAGGAGTTTGTTGGCTGGTGGCAGCTCTAACCCCATAAGATGTTCTCCCCATGTGTGTCTGTTCAAAATCTCCTCTCAAATTGGAAGGCCAGTCGTATTGCATTAGGTCTTTACTTTAACTTGAGTTATGGCCTCCATTTTAACCTGATAAAAGGCCATCATTGCCAATAGTACCATATTCTAAAGTGGAGGGAGTTAAGACTTTAACAGGTGTTTTGAGGGAGATGATTCAACAAGCAGCAGTGTCTTTAATCTTTCAATATACAACTACTTTCGTATGGATTATTGAGGCTGGATACCCAGGTGAGAGGAAGTAAAGATGGTGCCCTGCCCCTATGGCATCCTTCTTTTCCTGCTTCAAAGTGGGGTCCCAGTACACAGAAGCGTTTCCCACTCTTCTTGGAACTCATACTCATCTCCAACTTTTACTGTTCTTAGACATCATCATTTAAGTGTCCAGTATCATTTTTCAGAATTTTAGGGAACTATCTCCCCTCCTGAGAAGCTGGACAGACAACCATTGTCATTTGTAGCACAGCTGTTCCAAATCCCAGAGCCTATGCTACATTATCCCTGTCCCAGACTTTCCACAGTGTGACCTTGACATCTTCATGGAAAACATCGTCCTCAGAATTCTAACTGGTTGCCCATAGAATTGCACCACTATACCACAATTGATTCTGTTGAAATCAAAGTTGTAAGACACTTCTTTTATTCTTAGAATCTCTGGTAATTATCCATCTGTTAGAGTTTAGATCTAGAGTGTTCCCCAAAGTCTCACGTGTTCAGAGAAGAGGCTTTTAGAAGGAAATTAGTTTTTGGGAGCAGTATGGCTATAAATTTCCTCCATAATTGAAAAATGAGTTTCATAAATTATTTTATTATTCATTAGGTACAGTACAATAAAATATCACCAAAAATATTTCACCTGTAAATTAACTTCATATGTACTTTTGCTACTATTGTTATTTAAGAAAAAAAGAAGGGAAAAATCATACCGTATGAGACATTTATGTAATAATTACTTTTCAGGGTGGAGTTTTTAAAAGTCCTTCCATACTGACTGTTTTCTTGGCCCTGTACCATAGAGTCCCCCAGTCTTCAGGCAACTGCGATTTTCATAGTTTTGCTGCATGCCTCTCCAGAACTTTCTTTGAAGTATCAAGAAGCCCTCACTGCTTAAAAATGTTCTAGGAATTGCTGACAAGCCCATATACATCATCCTTGCACTGTTTTTAGATAAATGCAGCTTTGATCAGAGCCCTTCCATCATCCTGTGCTTCTTTCATCTCTCATCTTTCAAAGGGAGATGAATTTTGAGCAGGGCATCAAAGGAAGTGAAGCCAACAGAGAGAAAAAAGGAAGGTAGTCCCTAGGGGGAGACTCCCAAGAGCCAGCAGAAGGAAGAAGATCTTTGGGTGTCAACAAGCAAATTCACTGGCAAAAGGAAGTGTTCCAGGACCCAGGCAAAAAGGAGAGCAGGATGAGGATATGCTTAAATCAGGGTCTTCTAGAGGCGGAGAACTAAGCTTGTGGTAGAGGCTTAGCAACAGGCATAAGCTGAATTACTGGTACTTGGTGAGTGTAGTCCCTGCCCAGCTGGGCTGCAGATGGAAGGGCAGAGAGTAGAGCATCTTGCCTTGTGGAGCATGTCTGGACCAGCAAGCAGGAGGGGACAGATCATACAATGACTAGAGGGGACCAAAAACAGTCATGAGGAGTCAGAAAGACTCAATACATGGGCTGAATAGTCACATCCTAACACCCTTACCCCATATTCATATGTTGAGATCCTAACTCTCAAGTGATGGTAGGGCTTTTGGGAAGTGATTTGGTTGTGAGGGTGGAGCCCTCATGAATGAGATTAGTGCCCTTGTAATAGAGGCCCCAGAAAGACCCACTTGTCTCCACTATATAAGACTACATTCAGAAGACACAGTCTACCTTTCAGGAAATGTACCCTCACCAGACACCAAATCTGATGGAGATTTGATCTTGGACTATCTACCACAAGACCTGTGATAAACAAGTTGCATTGTTTATAAACAACCCAATCCATGGTGTTTAGTTAAAATAACCTAACTTTAGGCATGAAGATACTAAAGACAGGAGAGAGAAAGAAGATCAAGATCAAGACAAGAAG